AGCTGCAGTTAAGCCTTGCGGCAAAACAGAGAGTGGGCTTGGTATATTTGGTATGACACAGATAACTGGAAACAGCATGATGGTGAAAAAATATGAAGAGACTAACCTACTGATCAGTAGTAATACTTTCAAAAGAAAAAATGAGGCGTCTACCTCTACAGCAGTCAGGGATCCATGCTTTTCTGCAAAAAGAAGGGAAATATTCCCCATAGCTTCCCCAGACCAAGAAGAAACAGAAATCAACTTTACTCAGAAACAGATGGAGTCGGAGCATCTACTTTTTGAGAAACGTAAACAAGAAGAACAGGACAGGTTATTAGCATTTCAGTTTCAGAAAGAGATGGATAAAGAACAAATGAAGCTAAACAGGCGAAAAGGATCCCCAGGTAAATATCAGTTATTTACTACATCCTTTTCTCCAGACACATTTCTAATGGGACAGAAGGATTCCAAAGACAGCAACTTCAAGAAACAGAATGATAAGGAACTTTCAAAATGTTGGAGAAGCTTAAGAGATGAAAACCAGCAACCTTCTTTTAAGATTCAGTTAAAACACTCAGCTACTGGTAATGGAAGAAGGATGCCAAATTCTACTAGACATGGTTGTGATGTGCCAACAAGTGCCCATTCCCCACAGCCTAGTAATTCATAGAAAAATATTTTTCAAATGTTTCAGAGATACAGAAAGTAATGCTTGGATGAAGATGTCTTTTGTTATCTAGTAAAACAGGATTGTGAAGCTCCCTTTTTAATTATAAAAGCTTTATGAATAAATTTTCTCTGTAGTGTGTACACATTGTCCTTAGTTAAAGGACTGTGATTACAAGGGAAGAATATACTAATGTGTTTCTGCAAAGCTTAATGATTAGCAAGGGTACCAATCCTTTCCATTATTAACAACTGTGATGTACTAAAGTTGACAGTCCTTATAAAGATGCTTTTGTTAACTTCAATAAATAAAAATAAAAAGAAAGGAAAAGCAACGACCTTCCTGGAGTTTGTTTTCTTGAGGCCTAAGTTCCTTGAAAGGATAATGTTCGAGAGGAGGGAAGAAACATGACAACTTTGAAAGTAGCAAAAGGTAGTCCAGGAAGGAAACTGATGTCTATATGTTACCTCTACCTGCTCCCTTGCTTTCCCTGAAGGAAAATGACTACTTGGTGTAAATGGGAAGGTTGTTCCCTGTGTCCGGTCTGTAGCATCTATCAAGTTTCATGCATCATAGGTGCTGGACACAGTGAAGCTATACAAGTCTAAGGGGCTGTTTTAGTTATCCGTAACAGAAATACCACAAGTGGATGGCTTTAACAAACAGAAATTTGTTCTCTCACATTTTAAAAAGCCAGTTCAGGGTGCAAACTCCAGGGGAAGACTTTCCCTCTCAGTTGGCTCAGGGTGGGAAGGTCCTTGTCATAAATCGTCCCCTGGTCTAGGAGCACCTCAGCACAGGGACCCCAGATCTAAAGGCTGCACGCCACTCTTGGCTCTTCGTGCTTGGTGGTAATGAGGCCCTTCTCTTCTCTGCTTGATTCTCTCTTTTATATCTTAAAAGAGATTGACTCAAGATACAGCTTAATCCTATAGATTGTGTCCTGCCTTATTAACATAACTGCCTCTAATCCTGCTTAATTAACATTATAGAGGTTAGGATTTACAACTCGTAGGATAATCACATCAGATCACAAAATGGTGGACAAGCACACACTACTGGGAGTCATGACCTAGCCCAGTTGACACACAGTTTTAGGGGACACAATTTAATCCATAACAGGGGCCACGCTGACTTAACAGTATGTGGACTAATAACCAGAGAGACATCTCTAATTGTTCTTCTGGGAACTTCATACAATCCTGTGTTGGGACAGCCAGGGAAAGGGTAGGGTTTTAGGGGCTTACCAATATTTGTTGTTGTTGTTAGGTTCCATAGAGTCAGTTCTGCCTCCTAGTGATGACCCTGTGTACAGCAGAACAAAACACTGCCCGGTCCTACACCATCCTCACAACCGTTGCTATATGTTAGCCCATTGTTGCAGCCACTGTGTCAATCCATCTCATCGAGGGTCTTCCTCTTTTTTGCTGACCCTCTACTTTACCTACTACCTTCTCCAGGGACTGGTCCCTCCTGATAACATGTCCAAAGTACGTGAGACGAATCCTGGCCATCCTCACTTCCAATGAGCTTTCTGACTGTACTTCTTTCAAGACAGACTTGTTCGTTCTTCTGGCAGTCCATGGTGTATTCAATATTCTTTGCCAACACCATAATTGAAATACATCAATTCTTCTTTTGTCTTCCTTATTCATTGTCCTCCTTTCACATGCATATGAGACAATTGAAAATACCATGGCTTGGGTCAGGGGCATCTTAGTCCTCAAAGTGACATCTTTGTTTTTTAACACTTTAAAAAGGTTATTTGCAGCAGATTTGCCCAGTGCAATGTGTCGTTTGATTTCTTGACTGCTGCTTCCATATGTGTTTAATATATCACATATATTAAATTGTTGGTTTGTCATGGGATAAAGTAAACTTTGAAAACTGTCATGAGCCAAGAGCATGACTTTGGCTTGTGTTGGGGCACAATTCTCCATGATCTCTTGCATTTCTGTGTGTCTTGCAAGTGAGGATCTAATGGCCTTTTGTTACAGCCTCTCTTTTCAAGACTTCCAATAAATTCCCTTTTGACCTCAAATAGCCCAACTGGCTAAAGACTCTAAATAGAATAACGTTTACGAATTTGGGGGAAAAAAAATGACACTTTTTTTTTTTTTACTTAAATCTAAATTTTGATAGGAACATCAGCTTAATTTACAAATGTGAACAGGCTGCTTTTAGGGGAACAGGTGATGGCAAGTGGTAGGATGATTCAGGGTGTGGAACACAGGAAGTGACAGCAAGATACATTTGTTAATCCACATCTACTTACAATTATTATTACAATTTTAATAAAGGCAAAAAATCCTTATGGAAAAAAATTTAGACATAGAAAATTATAGTGAAAAGTATTTAAACAATGTTCTGTCATAAATATAAAGATTTATATAGTTTTACTTTCTAATCTTATTTAATGACAATTGTATCCATAATATGTGCATATTATATACCTGTTATGTAAATATGTACATATATGTATGTTGTGTGCTGTCCAGCCGATTTCAACTCCTAGAGACCCTATAGGACAGAGTAGAATTACCCTATAGTATTTCCTAGGCTATAATCTTTATGGGAGCAGATCGCCAGGTCTTTTCTCCCACTGAACTGCTGGGTGGGTTCGAACACCGACCTTTCAGTTAGCAGCCAAGCACTTACCCATTAGGCAACCAGGGCTCCTTCATATACGCATATATACATACATGTGATTGTTAAATAATAATGAAAATTGTGACTATGATTTGTTTAGTATTATTGATGTACACACACACACGCACACACACACACGATGACAAGTCCTTACATGAAGCTGGTCATTCTCCTCTCCACTTCATCTTTGATGCAACAGAGCAGCACAGATGTTAAAATCTCACAGTGTGGAAGTGTCAGTGTCAAGGATTCCAATTAGATTGATTTAATTTCATATCCTACAGTTTCTCTATTACTTCACACTGCTTCTCTAGCAGCAAGAGTAGGAGTATTTGAGATCAACTGATTATGAAAATGTAACTTGATGTATCTGTTAACTCACTATTGGCCAACACTTTCAAAATCCCCTTGGCGTTTATATATTCTTTTTCACCATAAGAAATACAAACCTGGTTTCCTGTATGTCATCTCTCTCCATCTATGCCTCTCTATCTTCACTTCCCTTTCTTTCAGTATGAAAATTGCATTGCCCAACAATACTCTGCCTAGATCAGAATCCCACCTAGCTCCAGTTTTGTTCATAGACAGGTGTACATTGATAATAATTAATTCTCTGAGAGTTTCTGCCAAGTCCACAGCTGCTTCTTTGCACAACTGGCTGTCTCATAAAACCAAAAAATCAAACTCATGGCGACCCGTGTGTTACAGAATTGAACTCCATAGATTTTTTTGGCTGTAATCTTTATGGAAGCTCACGAGGCTTTTCTTCCGTGATGCTGCTGGGTGGGTTTGAACCACCATCCTTTAGATCAGTGGTTGAGCGTAAACCGTTTACACCACCCAGGGACCTTGGCTGTTTAATAGCGGGTTGAAATAGTGTGATGAATAAATGTAGCAGAAGCCTTGTTATATTTTTGTCCTCCTGTGAATATATAATGAGAAATCAATGGAAAGGAAGAACAGGTCTGGGGTGGATTAACTGTGGTGGGCAGATTGACCATGAAACTAAAGAAGCTCAAACTTTAGGGCCCTTCACTTCCGTAGGACACTGCCAAGACTCTGTATGTTGTAAGTTTATATTCTTTTTCTTAAAGAGACCACCACCCCAAATTATATATGCACTTTGCATTCCACAACATCTAGATTCTCTCCTGAGAAATTTGTAGGCAATACAGATATTGCTAGCTCAAGAAGGAAAAGAACAGGAAGGAGACTGATCCAGTGAAGGAGAGGAGCAATAAACGGAAAAATGACAACATTGATTTTTTTTAGAAATGGAAAGTTTTTCGGTAATCTAGAAATCTCTTAAGAAGAAGACATGGAGAAAAATCCACCGAACATGCGACTAAGGGCTGAATAAATTTGTGTCTTCTTTTCCACTTGGGAATATTCTTTGGACATAAAATTTCCAAGTCAATTCCTCTATACAATTGGGCTCAAATATATTTAAATTCCAGTTTGTTTTAGGGAAAATTGTGTAAAACTTTAATTGCTTAGGAGCTCTGGTGGTGCAATGGTTAAGTGCTCAGCTGCTAACCGAAAGGTGGGCAGTTTGAACTCACCAACTGCTCCTCAGAAGAAAGATGTGGCAGTCTGCTTCCGTAAAGATTACAGCCTTGGAAACCCTATGGGGCAGTTCTACTCTGCCCTACAGGGTTGCTGTGAGT